AAGGTCCCTGATCTTTCGTAAATATGCAGTTGGGGTATACCTATATGGAAACTATCCAAGACACTATTAGTTGACCTGAAAAATGCAAAAAAAAGTTTTTTTTGACTATTTTAAATAGGGGCAATTTCGTCCATATGCACACAAATTTGAATTAATAAAATAAAAACTAAAAAAAAAAAGAAAAAGAAAAAGAAATGGAGGAGCGGTTGCACCCCACCCCACCCCACCCCACCACACCACACCACACCACACCACAAACCGCCTCTGCCAACCATAAGGGGAAAATGATTCAATCTCAATTCCTCAGAAAAACTACCTCCAATTAAGCACGAACATTAAATGTCCATAAGCTGAAGAAAGTGACGAATGCTAATACGTTGATAAAGCTCTGATGGCTTTAGCGGGTAGCAAGGAAGAAGAGGACGACGAGGTAAATCTACCCACTTGCTGTTGTTGCCTCCTCCTGTACGCAATATACACTTGAATAGAAACTTATAATTGACTTCTTCGTCTCTTTCTTCACTTAATCAATTTTCGCTTTCCGAAAAAATCAAAATCAAAATCAAATTTTAGAATTTATGTTTCTTTCGCTCTTCGATTTGTCAATTTTGCCTCAAGAAGTGGTGGTGGTGATGGTAGCGGGGTCAACATCATCGATGACGAAAGGCGATGTGATGGTCGGCCGGTGGTAGGATGTGGGCATTTCTTGGTTTCCTTTTGATTATGAGGTGGGGGATAAGGGGCGGGTGAGGTTGGGGTTGGGATGAAGTTTTGTTTGGGTGTGTTTGATGAATATTATTTTGGAATAGTAGATTGATGGAAAATGTGTGGTTCAAAAAGAAGGAAAAGTTATTGATGTGATGAAAAATATTATTTTAATGAAGAATGTGTGGTTGAAAATGAGTAGAAAAATGAGAATGAAAATTTTAATGGGTACCAAACACACCCTCAATTTATTTTTTATTTTGATTTAATATTTTAATTGTTTGTAATAGGAAAATCTAAACTTACGACTTTACCCTTTCCATTTTGGTTAAAATTGGTCAAAGTCAACTTTGCTTGGTCAGCTAATGGTGTATTGGACAGTTTCCATTCAGATGGACCGCAACTGCATACTTACGAAAGGTTAGGAACCTCCGTTGACACAAAATGAAGGTTAGGGTAAAGTCCGAAAAAAATTGAAAAGGTTAGGGACTGCTACTGCAATTTTTTTGTATAAAAAATATGTTAAATAAAATATGAAGGGAAATCAATAAATGTTTCTTGAGAAAAATAAAATGAAAAGCCAAAATAAAGAAATTAAAGACTCTCTTTATAATAAATAGTTTCTTGGATATGCTCTTATTTCATTATAGTCAAGAAGTTCACAATTTATAATTTGTAGACGGAGGAACTCAATTTTAACACGTAGTGAGTGAACCATTCAATATTTCTCTAATTTCACAAAATTGATATGGAAATTTAGGTGTCGTTCTCTTTGCGTTTCAGTTTTCTATTTTGAGTTTTGAATTCGTTTTGTATTTTGTGTTTTGAGTGTCTGTTTTGAAAATATTGAAAACGTGTTCTTTTGTAATTCCGAAAAATTGTTTCTGAAAACACAACTTTAGAAAACTTGTTTCCTTCGGAATTTTGAGAAATCAACCAATCACCACCACTGCAAACAACAACCAGTCACCATCGCTGGTCACCACCATCGCCACCACCACCCAGTCACCACCGCTGGTTACCACCATCGCCACCACCAAACAAACA